CCATTAAAGCATTTAATGTTTTTAAATAATGTATTTCGTGTATTTTCAAATTAGTACAAATTAATTTTTGAATGTATTTCACTGGTTATTTTTTACATTTCCAAATACATGTTACTATAGTATTGCAACTTTTTTTTATGGAAGGGGCCCCCGAAATTGCTTTGCCCCAGGCCCCCTGAATCTTCTTGGCGGCCCTGCACTGGGATACCATATAAGATCAGTATCACTAGCATGTATCCTTTTGTTCAGTGAAGCAAGAGATTTGGGGAAACTTTTGCCTTCCTGGGAACATGGTGAAATGTTTCCAAAGGTGGTGGAAGACTAGGAATTTTCCCTGGATACTATTTAGGAATTTTTGAATATTTGAAAGAGACTGGATTTGCAATTGACACTGATTATCAACCCATTCAGACCACTGTGGCATATGTTAGCCACCAGGTTGGCAAAATCTAAAACCAATTGGGAGGGCCCCGGAAAAATGGGCACCCCTGTGTACCCACCCACTCCACCCTGACCCCATTTCCCCAGCAGGAGCATCAGGGGTGGGGGCGGAGGGGACTGCAGGCGGAAAGGGTAGGGAGGGGCCCCCACTTGCACTGGCCCAGGGCCCCACAAACCCCTAATCTGCCTCTGAGCAGGCATAGTCTCAACTACAGTGCAGACACAGGCTTCAAGTTCAGGGTCTGCAACCTACCTGTTGCAGGAAAAGTGTATATGCAACATTCCATTTACAGCTTATAGAAATTTGCAAACTGTCAGATCGCAAAACATAGGAACTCCAAGCAAAAAGGGATACAGACACATTTTTTTCATAGGGCACCCCAGAGACTCAGATGAAATGACATTTAAGGGCAACACCCATAAATCACAAAGGCGATTCTTTACCATGCTTCCAAAAACAATGCAGAGGCCAGGGGAACTGAGCTGACTAAATCACACTTGCATTTTAGACAAATGCAGCACACACTCATATACACTCTCTTCTCAATGTAAGCAAAAAAACAAACAAACCAAAAAATATCAAGGCTGAAGTTGCATCGCCTCAGCTTCCAACAGCCAGTTGAAAGTAATCCCATTTTAAAGTCTTTATTCAGTCAAAAACCTCTAAGTTACATTAGTTAAGAGCTTTGGCTAAGAAAATGCTTCAGGGCTGAGTCCACTACCAGCACCCAGGAACCCTGGATACATCCCTGTCTCTCTGGAATTCATGTGAACTGCTTCTTATAACACAGCAGGAGGAGGGTGGAGACTTTAGCAACACAGTCCCTGCCACCCCAGGGGTCAAGGTATTAAGCTTACAACTTTAGGTTGGGATTTTAAAAAAGTGCTCCATGTTAGCCTAACTCCAACATCAATGGCACAGTTATGCTAAGGCTTCGTCTTCACTGCCAGAAATTATTGCTTTTATAGCAGGATAGCTAACCAGCGTTGGCTATCACTCTAAAATCTGAGTGGAGACAAGGCACTGTATTTTTATTGTGAGGTAAACTACCATAGGTGAGATCAGCCATAGGTTGGTGTATAGCATTGACTTCACCTAGTTTACCTCTCAGTAAAACCACACTGCCTTGTTTCCACTAGGATTGTTACAGTGGAATACTAAGTGTACATTAGTTATCCCACAGTTTTAAAAAATCCCATCTCTTTTGCAGTGGAGACATAGCCTAACACTAAGCAATTTTGAAACTCTCATCATTCATCCGTCATAATCCTCCCCTCCCAAATGTGGTATTGCACTGCTGACTATATATGACTTAATTTTTTTCTTTTCCTATTGGCTATTGAGTTCCCATAGAAAGATAGTGGGGCTTTCACACCTCTAAACAGGCATTCAAGTGGTGTCTAAATAGATCCTTTGATACTTGATTATCTACCCTCATTCTGTACAATCCAAGTATCTTACCATCGACCACAAAGCCTTTAAATGGGATGCTCAAAACTGATAACTTCTATTATAAAATGTATGTCATGAACACAGAATCCTTGCTAACCACATCTGGAGTTTTAAGAACCATACTTTTATCTTGATTTCTGTACTATCAGTGGCAATACAAAGGACAAAATTCTTATTTCAGATCACATTGCTGATCTCAACATGAGTATTCTTACAGAATTTATCACGTGGGCGAGAGTGCACAAAGAGGGGAAAACAGACTGGATTTACTGTAGTGGTCATTTTCATTCCCAGTAAGGTTATTGTAGCTCAGCAGCATTTTGTTGGATTCATAGGACAAGATGTCAAAATATATTTATGGATATATAAATGTAAATTTATGTTTCAATCTAGCAATATATTATCCAATTAGCATTAAAAACATTTAAGTGTTGCTTACTTATGTTCCAGAGATGATTAATGTTACAGAGATTTCATCTGCAGAGATATTTACAATGTAAATGAATAATCAATCATGACATTAAATGGGAGTCGGCAGAGCAAACAAGTCAAGTATGATCAATAAAAGACGCCACATTTGGATTCTGAGTGGGAATAATACAGCTTGGCTCGGTTTTTTTTTTTAAATTACTACACTATAAAAAGAAAAACTTACTAAAGCTGCAGGAAAACAGCAAACCTCATTTTTTCTTAGAAATTAAGTGTACATTAAGAGCACTTTTAGTCTTACTTATATTACAGTTGCACCTAGTATTGTGCTAGATACTGTTCAAACACACAGTAAGTCCCTGCTCTGAAGAGCTTATATTCTTTCAAATGGACAAGACAGACAAACGGTTGGAGAGGGAACAAAGACACACAGTGCTTAAGTAATTTGCCCAGCAACACAATGCGACTTAATAGTGTCAGGAGGTAGCCGTGTTAATCTGTATCCACAAAAACAACAAGGAGTCCAGTGGCACCTTGAAGCCTAACAGATTTATTTGGGCATAAGCTTTCGTGGGTAAAAAAACTCACTTCTTCAGATGCATGGAGTGAAAATTACAGAAGCAGGCACCATCAGAGGACCCAACCACATCAGCCACACCATCAAGGGCTCAGTCACCTGCATGTCTACTAATGTTATATATGACATCATGTGCCAGCAATGCCCCTCTGCCATGTACATTGGCCAAACCGGACAGTCCCTACGTAAAAGAATAAATGGACACAAATCGGACATCAGGAATGGTAACATACAAAAGCCAGTAGGTGAACACTTCAATCTCCCTGGACATTCTATAACAGATTTAAAAGTAACTATTCTTGAACAAAAAAACTTCAGAAACAGACTTCACAGAGAAACAGCAGAATTAAAATTCATTTGCAAATTTAACACCATTAATTTGGGCTTGAATAGGGACTGGGAGTGGCTGGCTCATTACAAAAGCAGCTTTGCCTCTCCTGGAATTGACACCTCTTCATCTATTATTGGGAGTGGACTACATCCACCCTGATCGAATTGGCCCTGTCAACACTGGTTCTCCACTTGTGAACTCCCTTCTCTTCATGTGTCATTATATAATTCCTGCATCTGTAATTTTCACTCCATGCATCTGAAGAAGTGAGGTTTTTATCCACGAAAGCTTATGCCCAAATAAATCTGTTAGTCTTTAAGGTGCCACCGGACTCCTTGTTGTTAATGCGGCTTAATGGCTGACCTGGAAATAGAATCCAGGTCTCCTGACTCCCAATCCATTGCTCTACTACACGGTCTCTCCAATTACTTATTTGTCAGAACTCTTCAAATATTCTTCCATGGAGCTATGCTATTTTACACCAGCTGAGGAACTGGCTCCTAGTCTGAAGCACCAATCATGACGTGTTTTAGATAAAACTGGACCTTAACGATATTAGTTCAGTAAATAGATCAAAGTAGATAATTTCTGTTTGCATTTGTTTGTTTAGGCCCCGGTTACCAAGTAATCCAGATTGCTCTGTATGACTGCCCCACCTTCATCATTATTTATCATTCTGCCAGTCTTAGTGTAATTCACAAATTACATCAGCAGCGATTTTATATTTACTTCCGGATTGGACCTAGTACCGATCCCTGCAGAACCCCACTAGAAACACCACCATTTGTTGATGATTTCTCAACCACAACTACTTTTTGAAATGTCAGTTAGCCAGTTCTTTATCCATTCAGCAAATGCTCTATTCATATTGTACAGTGCTAATTTCTTAATCAGTCATGCGATACTAAGTCAAACACTTCACAAAAGTCTAAGTATATTATATCTGCAGTTATCTTTATCAACCAATCTCGTAATTGCCTCAAAGAATGAAATCTGGTCTGTTTGACAAGACCTATTTTCCATAAAACCAAGTTTACTGGCATTAATTATATTCCCATCCTTTAATTCTTTATCAATTGAATCCCATACCAGCCTTTT